TGGACCTTCTTAATCGCACCGGTTCGTGCGTTCTCACTGGAACAGAAACATAACCTCAAGCTTGGATTTTCGTTTACAAAGGGAAGAGAAAACAAAGAAGGTCAATGCAAGTTGAGTGCCTCAATGCTGCTGCTTGTTGTTGCTGTCTCGAGGACAATAAGAATTACAATATTGCTGGGTAAAAGCAAGCATACAGACGCTTTAAATACGCACCAGATTGAGCAGCCATCGCCCACCTTCTCTTGTCTTACCAAGATACCGAGCCACTGAACCGGGCATTGACGAGGCTCCACAAAGGCCTAAAGGACGCAGTAGCACTTAAACTGGCAATAACCTGTCCTGTTGTGGCAGTGATGAAGTGAAGCGAACGGAATAAGTGGAAACAAAAACTGAAGGTTGGCTATGTCGGCGCCCAGCTGCCTGAAAATGTCTATAGCGAACGCCAAGATAAGGTCGCCGTTAGTGGCATCGAGTGAGGATGCGTGTGGTTGTTCGCCCCTTGGTCATCAGCACGAGCCGTGGGTGAAGTAGCTTATTGCTCGTCAAGAAAGACAGCTTGGATGATGCGAAATGAGAGCTACTTGCCTCCATGCACGTCTTTCGCCATGCCGATGGTTCCGCCAGAGTAGATCACCATCACCTTAGATTCTTGGTTTTTCAGAAAGCTGTCCCACGCCCTAATGATTTCGTTGGGAAGACTCTGCAACAACTTGGGGCAGAAAGACGGGTCCATGCATTCGACGGTAGGTGCTCGCGCGGCAGCTCCACCTGTCCGCTTGGCTTGCCGCTCGCTCGGGACCAAACGCTGGCCCAAGCTCGTAAGACTGGGCTCTTCCTTTTTGTTGGCCATGAAGAGAGGTTTTGAATGTCGCTATTCTTATATCTTGTTTTGGACCCAGTGTCGTCTCCGTCGTTACGTATACTGTCTTACCGAATAGATCGAAAATCCACACGGATGTCCATTTCAGCCGGATCGTGAGCCTGAGGAAACAATGAAATTTATGTCTGCCTTTGCCCGCGGATTGACTCGCTTCTTTATGTGCCCCGCAGTCGTTTGAATGGAAGTGTTCGGTGCTCTTGCCCATAAAGCATGCTGGCTGCAGTTGTCTTCGGGTCTTTTGTTTTGAGCCGCAGTGAGATTGCAGCTTTAGGCAGCACATCATACAAACGACAGTGTTCCGGTGTTCAATGCAAACCTAAAAACATAATTATCTAAGGGCATGCCTCAAGCATGTTTACCCCATACATGTCTATGCTCCGAACATGTTTGCAGACAGTTTTTGTATGATCAGTGGCGGCCGAAAGTTTCCGAAAACCACATAACTTTTGGTTAAGATAACGGCTAGTTGATAAACTTTGGCACCTGGTCCTTACCGCACCAGCACTACAATTGGCCGGAAACTAGGCGTTCAGCGATGCAAACCTTATTTTCGCAAAAAAAAAAAAAAAAAGACGTCGTATATGGGTACTTGCCTCCATCTTCGTCCCGTACCATGCCAATGGTTCCGCCGCTGTAGATCACCATGACCTTTGATTCGTTTTTCAAGTAGCTGGTGGATCTCTTCTCGACCCCGTCGCCGAGCTTACGCAACACTTTGGGAAGGTACGACGGATCCATTGTCTCCCCGGAATAGACCTAGATGATGCGTCGAGGCAACAGGGACTCGCAGCACGACGTTCAGACTTGTGGAGATGGAATTCCCAACGCTCCCACCAAAAGGGACCTGTGACGGTTAAGATACGTTCGACTCGTATCTGACCACGGAAGTCAGCGAATAGAAAACGGTCACGCGTTGACGCAGTGGTCAAGGGTGCTCGGGGCGGTTCGATGCGAAAACAGGCGCAGAAGAGGCTTTTGAACGTTGTGCTTCTTATCTTAGCGAACCTTTTACCCTGAGAACCTTCTGGTTGATAAATAAAACGTGCAAGCCGAACTGTGGAAAAGCTGCGTGTGCGGTTTCGCGCATGGGGTGTACACGAGTCGGTCTCGGACGAAACGACCCAAGACAAAATGTTACCTGTATAGAGGGACACTAAATAGGCTAGCTTTACCTTACATCGGAGGAAACTGCCTTCTGTCCTCCGAAATGCTGAAACAGTTCGCGACAGAGCAAAATGATATCACCTGAGCTTCCTGCACCGTCTCTAAACGGCTTATTCAGTGCTACGAAGTGCAAAACTGGAAAAAAAAAAAATTTTTATCAGGTTAATTTTTCGATCTTAACTCATTTAAATACTTCTCTGAATTGCTGCTCTGAACAAAGATATTAAATATTATCTTGTAGCTAAGAAGTATTACGGAGCAGGTGTTTCCGCATTGAGAACGATAGAGAACGATTACCTGCCAAAAAGTAAAACTGAGAAAAAATGTGGAGTTTCAACTTAAGGTTTCTTTATCTTCTATTGAGCTCAGGCACTCTCATTTCCCTGGCAATGGACCTCCAGCCAATCCCACATAGAAGACATGACCTGAAAATGACGCCATCTTTAGCGAATACCCGACCCGCCCCAAACACGAGAGTCGCCCAGCTGCAGACATGTGGTAGCGTTGCGCACGTTGTGAAACGCAGCAAGACGCGTTGGCGGCAATACTGACGCAAGGTACGCAGAGCTGTGTGGATCCACTAGAGATGACGTCTGGGGAGGAGGAGCAGGCCTCGACTTCTAGATGTGGTTTCAGCTCGTTTGTGGCTGAGCTATCTTTGGTGACAGGCATTTCGACAGATAAACTGCCAATCCAAACAGGCAGGCGAAACTGAATAAGGGCGTGAAAAATGGCAATGCAACCTGAAGTGGAAGACGCTGTTGAAAGCGAGCGGCGCAAGTGAACGCAATGTATGACGTCCATCGCTGGTTGGGACACGCGTTTCAAAAAATAATCTTATGCGAAAAAAAAAAAAAGAAGTTTTTAGAGCAATATTGACGGCGCGAGATACGATTTAGTCGGTAGTCACCTCCTCTCCACTAGTCTTTCCTCTCGCCATTTAGGCCACATGGAGGAGAGGCATATCGGCTTGGCCATCACGTTGAGGTGGAGAGAGTGCATGACCATTCCATGACGTCATAGACTTTGCGAGCAGAATTCAAAATAAATCTCGCGCCGTCACTGTTGCTCCAATTTTATTTTTCACGTATTCTTTTTTTTTTTTATGCGTGTTTCCCAACCAGACTGTTTACAAAAAGAAAAAAAAAAATCTTTTCTTTTCAGAGTCCCCTTAAGCCCTGTTTCGGTAGTATTGCAAGATTTTTTCTTTCTCCGACCACTAATAGCGAGGTTATATTACCCTAATCAACAAGATAGGAGTCATCGGGATCCTGAGGTTTCAACTTCCGATTCTGAGAAATCAGAAAAGGCTAAAATTATCTGAATGTGTGCGCTGAATCATCAAAAACCAAGACCAGGCGTCCCACGAAAGTAGGGGCCAGATAGCCCACCCCCGAAAAAACGAGGGCCAAAGGGAAACACAGTTTGCTTTTGGTACAAAAAAAAAAAATTGAACAAACAAACAGCAGGGCTGTTTCACGTTGCAAAGCAGCCAAATGTCCTAAAAATACACCACATATTTTCTAAAAAAAAAAAACAGCCTTTCCACTCCGGTGAAGAAGGAAGACCAGCGAAGCTGTACTATGGTGGGTCGACCTCAAGGACGACTTCCTTGAGGTCTAGGATGACCTCAAGGACGACCTCAAGAACGACCTCGAGGACAGCCTCTCAAACGACGTCTAGGACGACTTCTAGGATGATGCCTAGAGAAATTCATCTTTCCCACTCTTGTGAAAACCAAAGTGGCTGGAAAGGTTGCCGCCACCTATGAGTCGCTCATAGATGGCGGTAGCTGTCCAGTGTTTTGCGTCCACGTTTATTTGGTGACGTACACGAAACTGGGGAAACTAGCCTTTACACAGCTCCACTGTAAAAATACAAATTGGGGTGTGTGTGTTTATACAGCCCAGAACTTAGTCTGCCTCAATGGGCGACTTGTCTCCCAGCAGTAGGTAAGAGAATTAGCCAGTGCAGTACTACTCACGCAGTAGTGATACACGACCGCACACCGGTAAGATGCTCATCCAGACAGAAATGGGCGGGGCTGGGGGTTGAATCCAGGATCCCTAAGTTCTGCAGCGCGAGCTTTCGCTCCACGTGCTCCGAGTTGGCGTGCGCTAGTCCACTCGGCCACCGATCCCCCATCCCCGGTATTTTCTAGACAAGGAACCTTGTGCTTTTTGCAGGCTCACCGTTTTGCCATTTTTAGATTTTGATTGGCATATACGACTACCTTGGGCCTTCACCTGATGTTACAAGATTTAAAACACCACCACACCAACGTACTGGAGCAAGCACACCATCCTTGCCCTGTCGCACAATTTACTGGGCTCAACAGAAAAAAAAATATCTCCTCATACGGGCGGTATTTGCTTTCCTGTCTATTTTTGTAGCAGCATTATAAGAAAATACTTTAATTTTAAAGATATTGTCCGACATCTAGAAGCCAGAGCTCATAGCTGGGTGATTTCATCTCATGCCGGGCATTCTAAAAAAAGTGCCTAATTTTTTTGGCACTTTTAGCCTGCCATTTCGGTTGCCATTCCGATTGACCTACATGCCAGAGGGCTGATAAGCATATATTTAGACGAAGCAACGCTCAGTCCAAAAGAAAACAAAATAGTGCAAAATGCATGAACAGGTAATATGGGCAGAGCTCCCTTTTGAGCGGAAATGAATCGAAGATACAAAACTATTATTTATGGCGCAAGGCGCGCTCGAGGCATCGGAACGGGGGTTCGCAGCTGCGGGATGCTTGCGGGCCGCGTCGCAGAGAGTCGCGGGCCGGGTGTTTGAAACCCCTGGACTGGACAATTCGGGCGATTCTACTGCCAACAGAAGAAACAAAACAGTCTCACCCTCCACAAGAACCGGCAGGGGAAGCGAGGGTGTTTGAAAGGGTACACCCTCATTTTCTAACAAAGACAGACACTGACAAGGCAAGCAACAATAGCAGATCTTTATTCTCAAGATAACACAGCACTTTCCTCCCACCCTCCCCTCCTCAAATGTTCTTCGCTTGCTGGAGGGCTGGAACGGCCGCCGGCACAAGAAGCGCCGGGTTACGACAGCGTCCAGGAGCGTGGCGTAGCCAAGCCTTCATGGTCTCTTCCACCTCGAGGTTCGCGCCCAGGGAGTGGCACTTCTTCACCACATCTGGGCAAACCCAAAGTGTCCCCTCGAGTCGGAGTAAACGTGGCCAGTTGGGCCAGTTAGTACTGATTACCCCTTACACAGTTACCCCTTACATGCGGTAAAGTTAGGTGGGACAGACTGAACGGTGTGTCATTGACTGCCTCCAAGAACAATGCTATTCCCTACGTGCCACTATAGGAAGACATCTTCCACAGCACCATCAGACATGCTGGTGTACACCAACGTTGGAAGTTTGTACAAACAACAATTTCAGGAATATTTCCAGATCCAAGCACCAGGGAAATCCTGGAAGCGTACCATATGGAAAAATTAAGGGAGTGTTCTGTTAGCGAGCCATCAATAACGCTGTATGAGAAGGAAGTGCTCTTCCTAGGCAGTGCTTGTAACGACCAAGTCTTAGCTGAACCTGTCATCTGCCCTACACGTGTGCATTGATAGTTGTCTTTTAATTTTCTTGGTTTTTTTAATAATTCTGTAAATATTTATAGTATGAATGTATTGCGCTCCGTCCTTTTCTTTTCTCATTTATGTATGGACGCCATTTTCCTCTTCTTCTTATAGACCGACACACTGTTTACAAACAAGCCCACGTTGGCCCACACCAGGTGTGGGCACTGCGCGCGTGCAGAAACCAAAATTGGAAGGAGTGAAGCGTCCGCGCATGCGCAGTGCTGTCGACAGCGCCACCGCAGCTGCGTGACGTCAGCTCCGTGTGTTGGTCTATTATTATCAGTTGCGAGTCAGCGCTTGTGTGTTCTATGTGTTTTCTCCTGTTGTCCTGTCCTGTGTGCGCAGTTTTTTTTTTATTTTCTTATTATTATTATGTTGCCTTCTTAAGGAACACAGCAAAGAAAAAATATATCTTTTTAAAAAAATCATTAAAAGATGTATATAAAAAAAAATTGTACCACAAAAAAAAATGTTTTTAAGCAATATTTGCGCTGTTAGACGCAATTTAGATGCAAAATGTGGAGGTTGCGGCCCGCTGATCCCCGCCCCGTGCTTACATACCTCATTGGCTGGAGCGATGATTGACATGTGAAAGGTTGGCTGTAAATTTGTATCTCCGTGCCATAATTTTAACCGACAGGTTTCTTTTGTCCGAGAAGCAAATATTCAAGACAGAGTCATTATTGCTTTCAAATGTATTCCGAGATTGCTTCTCCCGCTTTCGTGTGAAACTTTAAAAAACATGGCTGCTGGAATCTGCGGAGTGCAGAACGAGCTTTTTTTTTCCGTTGAGATCGTCAGTTTTTATGAGTGCAAATGGTTTTGAGTTCACAGAGTTGTTTACAGGATAGATCTTCCAAACCGACGTAGTTTGCAAAAAAACTGCCGCAAATATGCACCTTCGGAAGCGCTGTGCGGATGCTTGTTCTTGTAGTGGGACTGACCTAAGCTTAGAGTCCCAGATCAACTATTTTGATTGATCTGGCTTGATTGCCTTCTTTGCGTTTGTTGATGCTGAATAAAGATGTTGGTTCCCACAAAAGCAGCCCTAATTCTCTTCTGAATTGTGCAACCGTCGTGATTGCGACCATGGTTTCGTTAACGGGAAGGTACCTACACAGGTAAAAATTAGCGAGCCATTTGGTTGGAGGCAATTAGGCGTTCGGCTTGCATCAAGTTTGTCTAAGTATGTTCCCGTCATTTCGCCTCGAAAGGCAAGTAGCTTTCAAATTTTGCAGTGCACCTGGCCTGCTAAAGCGAATATTTTTACGTTGCGTTTTAATTGTGCATCAAAATGCTCAACCACAGTGCTCGCAAATGGAACGTAAAAAAAAACACACAAAAAAAAACAAGAACAGTAACGCTGAGCGTTTTATTTCTGCGTTAAAACGCTCAACCACCGTGCTCGCAAATGCCATGTAAAAAAAAAACAAAAAAACTAATGCTGGAAGGACTACATATTTATTTCCATGATTTTTAGCGCTTCGGTCGCTCATTACCGCAAATCCGATAGATGCTGACATGTGCTTGTATTGAGCCATGGCTTGTGCATGATGGAACGCTAGAACGCCGCTTTCATGGTTGTGTCGTCCGAGCGTTGCAGACGTTTTTTAGACAGGGGCAAAATAGCAGATGGACGCCGACCTGCAGCTTTCGTGTCTGCGTCTCATGGGCATTGCACACGGTAGACGGCAGTGAAATAACAAACGATGCCAGAGGCTGCCACGCGTCTGCTCGCACGACTAGCAGGCGGTGTTAGACCCCCAGAACAAGATGCACCAGTTGTCGCAAAAGGGAGACTCTACACTTGTTAGCATGTTCGGTCGAGCAGCCAAGCCAGTTCAGTAGTTATGGGCGGGACCACTGATTTGTGGGGGGGGGGGGGGGGGGGGGGTTAGAGAGGGCCATGACCTCCGCCTAATTTGCGTCTAACAAAATTAATATAGTGCAAAAAAAAAATGTGAAAGAATTATTGTAAAAATATATGTCCCATTTATGCCTTTTAAAAAAGAAAACTTTTTTTCCTTGCAGTGTCTCTTTAAGTCGCAGTCCTTTCGCTCATATGTACTTATACACCCTACAAAAAACACGGTGTTCACTAAAGACATGATGACATAATTAGCTGCGGCCACAGCCCAAGAGTGTTCCATGTTTGCATCGTGAATTTGTGTGCTTCAAATATGTCTTTTGTATGATGTATTGGCAGCGGGACCGTGACTTTAGGCAAAAACCAATGAGCCAGACCCATATTTTGTACTTAAAAAAGGCACAGCACTGATCACACCGAGCCAGAGGGTGTACAATGCTCGACAATCAGTGTTTATGGTAATGTGAACCACACTGAGACTACAAAGGCAAGTTCCTTTCATTTTGAAATTGCTACAGCCGCCTTGAACACTCCTGCAGTTTTCAAGTCATGTGGAAATATAATAAACTAGTCCGCAGAAAATTAAAAAAAAACATGGAAGCGTAAATAAAGCATAAGTCAACATTAATAACATCGACGTAGGCCACCTGCAATGTACCAAATGTGTATAAATGTTTGATAAAAAATAGAAAGAAAGTGGGTGACTTCCCACTCTAAATAAATTAGCAAGAGCCGCACGACAAACGAAGTAAACGCCAAATCGGCAGCGTTTCGTGCTCTACCGTCTTTGAGGAACATACTTTTTAGTCATCCACCAATTTCTGCCACCACAGACCCGTTTCAAGACCCCATCAAGCAACAATGGCGGTCACCATTTCTTGGGTGCAAAGCCTGCGAATGGATTTGAGTCCTCGCCGAACGTCGACGGAGAGCTTGTTCTCTGTGCGAGCTCCGCCAAGTTTATGTCGAACGCTGACGCAACCCTTGGCACAGCAGCTACTAAAAGGAGCGTGCTTTGGAAAGGGTCTATCACGGAGAGGTGATTACGCGTTTATACAATCTAGAGAAAAACAGTTCAGTTTGAAAGCGAGTGAAACTCCACTCACGGACAATGGCACTGGCCATGTTGAGCTCGCAGAACTTGGCCTTGCCCTTGCGGCCGAGCCAGGAGAAGAGTGAGGCCACCTCGTCCGTCATTAGGTAAGCCATGATCTTGCGCGTCGTGGAGCCGACGTTGCTCCCTTGCAGGCTTTGCAACTCCTTGGCCTGATTGAGACGGGTTGGATCAAAACAAGCTTCGAGACTGGACCTCGTTCCCAAGAATCCAAAAATACCCTAATGAAGTGAGGAATCAAATTTGTTTACTTCTGCACTCGGTTGGCAAATGCTCGAGGTGCAAGCCGGTGACAAAGTTTGGAGAAAGTTATTTCTTCACGCACATTACAGGGACGAAACTATCATGGCAAACAATGAACCAGTGTCGAATCTCCCAAGGCCGACAGTGCACACTGCACGACGCAGACAGCGCAGATGCAACATCAATACTTTTCTTCTCTTTACCTATTCAGGTTGGCACTGAATATTGGCCTCAATATTCTGTGAATTTTGCAAAGTCTGGGTTTCGAGAATGTTTCGCAGACGCAAAACTTCACGATTTAGAGTGGTATGCTATGTATTTTGTACCACAAGGTTATATACAGGTGTCGTAAATTTTTTGCAATATTTTCCAAGCTGCAAAATTAGCAAAAACAAACCCAGTGACGGTATACAGAAAAGGACAAAGCGACTCACGAAGGCAGCTTTCCTGTCGCCAACGAGAGTGGTGTCGAAGGCACGCAGCTCCCCGCACGTCTTGAATGGGCCGGCAACCAGGGTGGAGGCCACCTCGGCTGGACTGCTGTTCATCACCGATCGAAGCATTTCCACGTTCCTCTGCTGCATCGCGTGAATCTCGCTCAGCAGGCTCAGCATCATGCGTTCAAACCCTGCGTGAGCCCGTTGGTCACTTAGTACTCAACCGTAGCAGGGACTTATCGATCCTGCGTATCGTGCAGCTGAATCCAAATTTCGAGACTGCGAAATCCCGATCCACAGCAGAGTTTGCCGAGTAGTTCCTTGGACATGAACTGCACTTTTCTGACTTCTGATTACGAGAGACTTCAAACTAAAATGTCTCACTATGGTTTCGGTACCACTAAAAAATCAGCAATGAATCAGTCAAACATTGTACGCAAAATGTATACAGAACAAAGCAATCATGACCACCCTATTTCAGCATCACTGATGCAAGAAAAATAATGCTTTGTTGCATTATTTAGAAAAACAAAAATTAGGTAGCTCTTAAGATACTGTTGAGGATTGGTGGATGTGAAAGAACATCCCAACAGAATAACATTGGAAAAACAACATTCCTGCTTACTTACAACACACAACACAATCTGCAAAATTATATCCCTAAAAGTCCAGGAGAAAAAAAAGAAACATTCCCAAATATGCCGTAAATTTTGGAGGCCTTTGTAGAATATCCGACAAAAACAGCTGCAGTCGATTTTGCAACTTTCAGTAGGCATGCCGGCTTGCTTGGCTTGCAGGAGCAGTTCTCCAGTGTGCATCGGTGGACAGTACAAAAACACTAGGAACGGAGCAGCCCATACATCCGCACGTGGTTGTTCAAACTAGATACCACCAGATGCATTAATGCAACCACTACACAAATTCCATAAATTATCTAAAATGCCACTGTTTACGGATGACATCTGGAAACCGTTACACACTGCAGAGAGAACACTTCGTAATTTCGCAATCTGCATAAGGTGAATGCAGCTGGTGTAGACGCTTTTCTGAGGGCCAGTGTTGCTCATCTGTGGGAAACAGAAAAGAAGAATCGTTAAAACAGTCTGTTTGCCATAAGAAGATTTTGTCTGACTAAGACTGTCTCGGTTATGGATACATTCCCCAGGAACTGAGCCGTCAGAGCTTGTGACTCTTCTGGCAGTGAAGACATCATCCAGCACATTTCATGCGTTGCTTGACAAAACACATGGAGCAACACATTCTGACTGGAAACCTGAACGCATAGTTAAGTATTTTCCAGAACGATTTCTTTTTGGATTCATTCATGTTTGTGGAGCACGCTCGTGAAATAAATGTATCGTTTCGGTTCAAAAATTTTGCAGCTTCAATGTTACATTCGTTCGTTTCAAGCATGTGCTCCAGCTACATTCCCGAGACTTTGTTTCACAATCCGCATTCGCTAGGATATCTAAGCAACGCACAAAATCATCAGAAACTGGTAGGAGGACTGCCCGGCACTGCGAGGTTTCTCATGGCCTGCGTAGTCTTCCAGCCTGGAATGGTAAAGAGGCATAAGACAAAACTTCAGCAATAACATCCCGTCCCTTAACTATCAAATAAAATATTGGGACGACCGTTCGCTTTCTCTGGTATGGTCGTGTGTCCCGTACGAGGTCTGAATTGTCTGTAAAATTTATTTCCGCCAGAGACATCAAAACGTCGGGACGGAAACACTAGCGGCATCCGCTCCGACCGACGAGTGACGAAACGGAAACACTTCATTTATCTCAAGCAGCAGCTAGCTGCAGAAAATTAGCACGGAAAATTATATCTTCTGCAGGCTAGCCTAGTCGCCACTCCGTGCTGTCGCGGTCAGCACTTAGCGCACTTACCTGAAGGCTTCTTCGCATTTCGAACTTGCCTCTCCCCGGCGGTTTGGAGCTCGGAAACTCCGACTGACCAGCGCGAGCGCTGTGTGTTCCGACGGTCGTACCGCAGTAAAAAGTCAAGCTCAGAGAAAAGCAGTCTCTGGGAGATGAAAGCATTGACTTGCAACGACAGCACGTCCGTGAGCTATGATAAGTTAGCAACGCGGGCACAAGCAGGAAATCGAAAAGAAGCGGAGGGACTAGAGAGTCGGGCGCCGCCATTGAAGATGTCGATAGCGATGCAGTCATCCGGTTGTTAGATGCTCGACCAGTGAAGACCTGAGTGTTCGGAAACTACAAATATATTATAAGCAGTGCGTATACTCAGGTCAATTAATAGTGCTCCGTTAAACAATATTACCTAACGAACCACACCGAAAGCTATCGCGAAAATCTCTAACAATACAGACTTAGGATGTCACTTTGAAGGTCAAACTTCGTCTGGGGGTGTAGCTCAGTGGTAGAGCGTTCGCTTCGCATGTGAAAGGCCCCGGGTTCGAACCCCGGCACCTCCATATGTTTTTTTTGTTGTGTGTGTGTTTTTATTTGGGCAACTTTTTTGGATAGCACAAGCATCGTAAATTACTTTCTGCACCCGAGAAACGTGTCAGAGTTTTGTTTGTAATGGTGATATTGATTGCCCCTCGCTTGTGTCAATCCCCCCTTTCCCTTTTTTAAGGTGATTTTGGCTAGTTTTGTTGTGTATGCTACTTTGCAGGACTGTAACAAATATTCTGACTGAGAATACCTAGTCCAAACCGGCTGAACGTCACAGAAAATTTAGGATATGGTGGTCTTAATGGATATGGTATTTTATTGCTATAATTATTTTTCTGTATCCTTCTGCCAGTGGACGGACCGTTCGAGCAAAACACGTTCGAGTGTTTTTCGTGAGGAGAAACTCAATATGTGTTATAAAGGAAGCGCGAATAATCCATCACCACTACCACGGTGTGCCCTACTAGAACCCATAACCACGCACATGAAAATAAAATAATAATGCACTCTAGCAGCCTGCCAGATGTAACTTGTAGAGTCAGCTGTTACATGTGGGGGTGTAGCTCAGTGGTAGAGCGTTCGCTTTGCATGTGAAAGGCCCCGGGTTCGATCCCCGGCACCTCCAGATTGTTTTGTTTTGCCCAAAAGAGGCTTTCAGCTTGGTACAAATCAAGTTTGTACAAATAGGGACAAATGAGAAGTGATGATCGTTCTATACTGGGATTTCCCTTTTTTCTTTTTTTCTTTTGCAGTTATGTAATTTTGCACATATCCATACACTTCATAATTTATTAGGCAGACACCTGTAAATCGCTGCACATTCTCAAAATTAAAGCAAAGTGCCCCTAAGCCCAAATCAAAGCAACATGCTGCAGGAATTAATGACACTACTGCTATCGTGATGCTATTTATTTTTTATTTGGCACTAAATTAGTTGGGGGAATGTTGCTAAGAAAGACTAAAAGAAACTAAAATTCTTCACCAATATCTCATAATATTTTGGCTGGCTTGACATTTCCAGACTTACTAGAGCGCCAGACAGTCAGTGATCTTTTTTAACTGCTGCCACCTGTCGACATAGCAGTTTGAGAGCATTTGGTCTTCTCTCTGCTTACCTCCTTTGTGCCAGTGAAGAAGGAGAACAAGGCTCCTTGGTTTGTACTTGGGAACTGAAGATAGTCCAAAATGGGCACAAAAACAATGAATGCTCAATACAGGTCACTGCCGCACAATGGAGTCAACGAGATCTAAACTTCGTTACACTTTGTCAGGGCGCAGCCGATGTTTTGGGTCAACAGGGCCAATCAAGCAGCATCAAAAGCGGACTGTCACATGGCGTTTGTTATCTCAGTGTTTGCGCAATCATGGAACAAACAAATCCGAGCGCAGTGAGTCTGCCCCGTAACCTTGCATTTTTCGTGTTTCTCCGTCTTTCACACCTTTGGCTGTGCCTCGCCTGACGGTGAAACAGAGTATACTGTGAAATACCGAATAGGCACCCATCCAAAATTGGGAGATCATCTTGAAAGACTGGTGGAAGGGCCAGGTCCAAGAACAAAAATGCTGAAGGGGCACCAAAAGAACGGGCTTCACCACGTTGCACCGGGGTGCTTGGGAGAAGTGGCTGATGAGGAGAAGCACCTTGGTTAGATAGGTGGGTTTAGAAGTATGCTGGGGCGAGCACTTGATACGTCTATTGTTATTCAAACATTTAGGAAGTAGCGGGTAGGCACTCATCGTGAACTGGGTGTATGCTCGTTATTTTATGGTAGCTGCGGTACCCAGGGTCCGTAAATGCATGTATTTTACCAGATATTTTTAATATTTTTGCTAGCAGACAATCATGCGTACAGGCCCATGTTTATCTGTCTAGCCTTGCGAGGCACCTAGAGTACCACTACTGTCGCTAATAAAAATTATTTTATTATACTTATTATCCAGAATTTTCAATCTGGGGGGAGGAGGAGTCATAACATATGTCTGGGAAACTGTATACTTGGTGTACTACTTTGAGTAAAAAATTCTCGCGGGGTGTTGGTTTTAGCCTGGGAATGCGTTGGGAGGGGGAGGGGGGGGGGTTATAAATTAAAGCTCTCGTATTTAAGATTTAAAAAAATGGCGGGTCTTCCAGATTTTTTCTTTACCCCTGCAACGAGGTGGTAAGTTGGGCTAGTTGAGAATCACTGAATCTTATGAAACACAGCGCTCAAAGGGTCAGGACAAAAAGAAGGAACACAGGATAAACCTGCGCTGACTCACAACAGCTAAACATTCCTCCACAGCGCCAATTAGTGGTTAGACCAACAACTAGCTGGCTTTCTCTCTACCACAGTGGCTTCACTAATGGTTCGAATGCAAATGCCGATCGCCGGCGTTCGGCATTAGAGCATTCAGCATTTGCATTCTAACAGTTTATGGGAAGACACAAGAAATCCAAGACGTGCCCACCATCACATAAAAAAGTAGAGAGGTCAGAATAAAATAACCTACCAAAGAAAAAAAAAACTGCAGCGTCCACCAGAAACTTTAAAGAATGCCGAAGGGTTTGGATTTGGGCTAGTTGGTTGAACATGTTTAGGGGTTAAAAGCGCTAAAAACGACGGACGAGTAGGAGAGACATACACCACAGAGCGCTGTGCTCTGTGGTGTGTGTCTCTCCTACTCGTCCGTCGTTTTTAGCGCTTTTATCCCCTAAATATCTTAATGAGTGCCACGGAAACAGATTCTGTGCACACCGACTACATCTATTAAAGATCAATATAAATCTAGCATTTTTCATAATGTTCGATCCCCACACAAGAAAGCACCATCTCCCCTGTTCACTTGAAAGGCGAGCCGCGCGTGTGGATGTGCATGTGCTTGGCCAGGTTCACTTCTCGCGTGAACGACGTGGGACAGAAGGCGCACTGGAACGTGGCCACGGGCGTGTGGGAGTGCAGGTGTAAAGCGAGGGCGCACTTGGAGTCCAGTGCCAGGCCGCACTCCCCGCACGGATAGCGGCCGGCCGCAACCGGCGACTGGGTGTGCTGGAACAGTTCAGCCTGGTGCCTGAAGGTGAGGGCGCATCGGGTGCACTGGAACGGTCGGCGCTCCTTGGCGTGGATGCGCAGGTGCTGCTTGAAGTTGCAGCGGTCGCTGAAGGACTTGGGGCAGTGCTCGCAACGGTAGGGGCGCTCTCCCGTGTGGATGCGCTTGTGCTTGGACAGGTTGGAGCCCTTGTTGGACGTGTAGCTGCAGTAGGTGCAGCTGTACGGACGCCGGGGCTGGGGCGGGACACCTGCGCGTGCGGGTCGGGCAGTGAGCGCGATGTGCCTTTGGAGTCGTAGCAACTTGCGGTGAAAGCGGTTTTGCATAAGTTGCTTTCAAAAAGTAATTAAATGCAGTTACTTTTTGATACAAGTAGCATAGTTACTATTACAGTTACAGCAATGGAAAAGGAATTTGTTACAGTTACTTTTAGAAGGGTGCTTTTTCATAAAACTACAAAAATAAAGTCGAAATCGCCCCCTCAGTTTGTTACAGAAAGTGGAAGTAAAAAGTAAATTTCATGCAAGTTGACACAAGACAAACATGACAGTCAAAATGTGGAAATACATCATTTGAAAAGCACGAGGAATGTCTAGATTGTACTCATTCAATGCTGAAAAAACTGTCAAAAGTAATGACAGAAGTAACGCCATTACTTCCGAAAAAGTATTACAACTACACATGTAATCTTGAAGTAAAACGCCTAAAGACAGAAAGAGAAGAAAATAGATGCTAACAGGATACAATGCTATGTCCTGTAAGCATCTCTTTTCCGTCCCTGCCTTTAGGTGTTTTACCTCAAGAATGTACAGCCAATTAGCCTTACTTGCTGTCTCAGTGCAGCTACAGGTAACACTTCGAAAAGGTAGCACGTCACAGTTCAAAGTTACCAAAAAAGGGAATGAAGTTTCAGTAATGCGTCACTGCCCAAGACTGGCTGGAAGTCGAAAACAGACCTCCTGGAAGCTTTGGAGGGGTAGCTAATGCTTCGCCGAGCCACATATACTCCGTTTCAGCTTACGACAAACAGCAGCGGGTACTACGAGCCATCCCAGCGCCGTGAACGTACAACTATGCACTTTGCGCATCGTTGCACCCCTCTCGAAGGTCATGTGACATTAGAATGGCTTCGATGGCTCGTAGAATTGCCCGCACCCCATCGTGAGGTGAAACAAAGAGTAGTGCCCCGAAAAAACAAATCCCCTCTTTGAAATACTGGCTGCAACCATACGCTATGAAGAAGGTATGTTTCACAGACCTCACTACTGGCGATTATAACTAACCACGCAGCACCGAGCAGTTGAGATACACAACTGCAGAAGTATGTAAAACCACATGTATTCGTGACAACAACACAGAGCTGGCAGTACCCAACAGAAACAAGATGCAGCAGCGGGTGCAAGTCATTCAAGTATGAACGCATGTCACTGTAATCGATGCTACTATTTCTGCTGAAACGAAAGTCTGTTTTTCAGGCTTTCGCTTATCCCCTCCCAGTGCTGATAGAAATCGCATATAAAAGCTACACTCCATGCGCATAACAGCAGGACAATCTAGAAGGTGCCCCCCCCCCCCCCACACCCCGCAAAATGTCCTTTGTCTCTCAGATAGGCAACTTAATGTCATTTCCATCAAACAACATTTGAGCGACCGGCCAAACGGCACGTGCCGCTCCTGGCACAGCACGTTCCGTGCATGACACTCTGGACTGCGAGACAATTCACAAATTACACAGACGTCACACGATGGAAATGACTAACATAAACCCTTAGTGAAAACAGCAACAACGGACGATTTATATATATATATATATATATATATATATATATATATATATATATATATGCAAAAAATCAGATGAGGGGCAACTTTATCAAGCTTTTTCTGCAGTCGTGGTGTTTGCCGCATCCACTGGCAAGTGTGCATGGCATATTCTACTTGGTCTTTGGATTTGCTGTTGTGACCCTAAGGTAGAAACGGAACATCAAGGATTAGACACACTTTACAAGAAGGCACTGAAACAATGAGAAAGTTTTACATTGAATCAATCTTTACAAAATTTAGGGCGTTGCAAAGACAACACGCTACCAAACTACGAAATAGGAGATTACAAAAATCGCACTGATCGAAAAATTGCAACGCACAGCATCCCCTCAAAATAAAGATACGGGGTATTCTCTTGCCGCAAAAATAAACTATGAATGTAGGGCTAATGGTCCAAAGCAGACGCCGAAGTTTCAGAACAAACCGTTATTTCATTTCAAAGTTATCAGTGACTTTCTGAAAATTTCAATGGGAAAATGTGGCCCGTTTTCGGTAACTTGCGTCATTCAGCTCGACGTACGCGGAGTGCAAGTTTGTCTTCTTTTTTTTTTTTGCAGGGGTTGTGGCGACGTCCGAACGCCGAGATTTGATTGGATCTGATTGAAGGATAGTGGGATGACCTCAAACCAAGCTGCCTGCAAAAAAAAGCAGACAGACCAACAGCAATATTCGAGGTTTTTACCGCCTCGGAATTTTGACCGTAAGATCAGTAGAAAGTCAGGCTGCTCTGAAATTCTACGGACTAAATACTCTATGGTTAGATGTTAGCAGCGGTTTTCGCAAGAGGCGACAAAAGACACCATTCGAAGACAGAGAGTCCGACTTCAAAACTGTCTCTTGTCTCGAAGGCAAATCATGTCATGCAGCGGTGTTGCACTCACGACCATTTTGCCAACTGCAGCCTGCAAGTTCATCGAGGATTTTGACGAGGTTGGACCCCGCGCTACAAACTGAATCAATTGCGACAGCTTTCGAGCATGTTTACAAGACATAAGCTACATTAGCAGATCCGAGCACCAGCATCAAATGTTTACAAACATTCGTGATTGCGATGACGGTGCGGCGGTCAGATGATGCGGAGGAAACCATCGTAACTTAATTTTTTCTTGTCTTTTTAGCTTACACTATTTAGATAATTTTTTGCTTTAAAATAAATGCCTGCCTAGAAAACAAAACGAAATAAAATTGCAAACAAGGGCTACAATGGATCACTTTCAGAAATCACCGGTTTATAAGGTTTCGGTTTGCAAACACGTGAGCGCGGGCGCGTACCACATTCCCTTCGAGAGTTGATTGCGTCGAGTTATTATAATAACTCTATGGTTGACTGCAGTGGTTTCAGATAAAAATAAATGCTCGTCCTCATCAAAAAAAATTTTTTTTTTTTTTTTTTTTTTTTTTTTTTTTGAAGGGGGACGGCGAGGGGTCCGAGGTGGCTGTGATATCCATGATCTGGCGTGCGGGGGTGGAGGGGGGAATGCATTTGTATAATTATGGAATCGGCTGCATTTCGGGAGGCGCTTCTCCCCTTAATTACGCCACTGGTTGATTGGGTTTATCTTTCTCTCCTACTAGCACTCATTGTTTCATTTAATACCCTAGGAATCCCCAAATTCCAAAATATGGCAGCAGTTATTTTAAAACTAGTAAAAATAGTGGGCTGGAAAATTGCCTGCAAAAAGTATTATTTAAAAAGACTCTGCGTCACTCTTGCTCCGACGTTCGATACAGCCAATAACGTTACTACAACTTCTCAAAATAATAAAAGAAAAATGCTGCATTTTTCTTTTTTGCATTGAATTTCAAAAGTTGTTTTTCAAGAACACCAGAGTGTTCTTGAATCTCTCTTCATTCTCTATTGTACCATAAGGTACCAGTGCTAGCTGGGTGTGAACCACCTATTTGCTGAGGCGTTTATTTTTGTAACTTCATTATGTATCACCCTCCACCCCTTCATGCTAAACCCCAAATGGAGTTTTTTTAAGAGTGCAATCAAATAATGAAAAATGTATATACTCACATAAAATGAAGTTCCAATGACATACATTAACTCCGCTTCCCGCACGGACAAACATTCCATATCTATCAGACCAACACAAAACAACACGCCAAAGTAGTGTTTGTAGTTTTATTGGAATGGAAGAAAAGCACTACAACAAGGCTGTGTTGCACCTTCAACACTGACACAAGGGACACATATAAAAACTTTATGTTACAGCTCCTGGAACATCAACTTTCGCAACACTCCGGTTACTCGTATTCACTTCGCATTTCTTAAATAACAGCACAAAAAACGACCGTAATCGAGAAACATATGGCAAGATGGTGCTAAAAAAATATGACAAAAGCATCTTCTGCGAGGAGGAATAGTGGAATGCACTTCTTTACAAGGTAGTATAGAACTATATAGCAAACTGCTCATAAATAGCGAGACTCTTCAATCGCTCCAGTGCAGCAAAACGCACAAGTTAAAGTACGGCAACAACCACGCTTGACTCGAACGCGAGCAAAAATATGACCGAAACGATTAGTGCAGCTCGTGCTGATCAAAGGCAACTGTGGCTTCGTAAACCGGATCATCTCCTAAAAAACTGTTGTCCCCAAAATTCTGGGAGAAAAGCTCCGCGCAACTCACGAAAATATAGACAACTTGTCGACTCTCCTCAAAGATAGAACTCTTGTCGAGAATAAAACTCTAAAAAAATATCCACCGTACGTAGCTGTCGGCGCTACAAATTTTTCGCACTCACTTTGCTCCACTTCGAAACACTGAATCTGTAAGCGTGCTCACAGTTTGAAAGCTTGCAGCGAGAGGCACCTCCGAGGTTAAATCATCATGTGCATCTGGAACGTCCCCAGAGGTACGCCGCAAGCTGGACACTGTTGAACAACGATGCCGACATCTTTGTACATAACTCTTCTCTTACCCCAGGGGGAACTAACTAGTAATGGTCCCACCGAAACCTCTTCCGAAGTATGGCCGGTCAACACACCCTAGAGTGGCACGGTCCATCCAAAGTAGCACTTGTGGCCAAACACAACGAGACTTGACTCGGCACAGCGAAGTGTATATGCTGCTCCGCTTAAAGCCGTGAACTCCTTTATATCGTTATAAAACAACAGTTTGTGGGAATGATGAAGGCGTAAGTGAGCTGGAAGCCTAGGTTAGCCGCGGCGTCGCGTCTAAACGCCGGTATTTTGAGTCCCTTGGATAGCCTGCAACTCTTGGCGAGAGCAGGAGCTGGTGCCGCAAAAAGGCCGATCTGCCTGTACGTAATCGGTAACTACAATCTAAGCAGCATCGTCGGTCGCATGCTCTTGAGGAAGCGCTGTTGAACAAGGCTGTGGGCAGATTTCTTGCTGAGTTTCACGAGCTCAAACTCCAGATGATCCTGCCAAGTCTCGACAGACTTGGATTTGGAAGACGTTGCGTCGCGACATCACAGGTGCCATTTGGCAAGGCACGCCGGTCCCTGCTGCTGCCATTCCCTCAGAGTGACGCACACGCCGTCGAACGCAGACGTCGATGCCATGGTGCTGGCACCCAGGAAAGCCATGTGTTCCCGGTATGGAGAGGCGTGAACCTGCACGCGCAAAGTTAGACTCGGAATTAATTATTATTTTGCGCGTAAAATGACAAAAGTTTGAGCAGCCACTTGGGGTACCAGTGTACCCCAAGTGGCTGCTCAGATGCATTGCTGAGCCATTTGACTCTAACATTGGAAATGCAAACCTCGTATTGGAATCTCGTACTGAGCAATTTGACCGCCTTACCGGGCAGTACGAGTCTCATATGTGGGAGCTCATTGGAATTCTATATTTAGCTGCTCAAGTTATAGATAATTGCACAACTGAGAAGAGTCGTGAACTCGCGGTAGAAATGTTGACTCGTTTCAGCATGGCCTATAGTAAGTAGTACAGGATGTAACTTTAATAGCCTGTAACAAAGCACAGCATGTATATCCATAGGCACAGGGAGGACCTAATGACACATTGGCCATTTGAAGAAACTGTATAAGTTGGTTTCTCACCCCATTGCAACGCAATTTACCAAAAATGCAATAAGATATATCTGTGTATCCTTTTTGTAAATATATAAAGGGATAGCTCACCCAAGTAAAATATGACAAAAGAAAAATGTTTTCGTAGGAACAAAACCTAATTTGCATGAAACTATCAAATGATGTAGTGGTGGGTCTGTGGCATTTATTTTCGCACAATTAAAAATATATAATGTACACCACTTTTATTTGATTATACTTCCTCTCACCTTTTCATCATATAAACACCGCACTGGCGCACATTACTATTTTAAAATTTTGCAAAAAAAAAAGGATTAGTTGTGTATTTATAAGAGAAATGTGTTTCCTTTTTAAATCAACTGAGGTGAGCTCATATTTCTATACTTTGAAATAATAAATGCATCTTGCACCTATGGGTACCTGTCACAAATTGTAGCATGATACGTTACAGAACAGGTTTATACCCCTCCTTCAATAAAACCAACCTGCCAATGAATTCACCCTCTAACATGAAAAAACTAAAATTTCACTCTACCGAAAATACTATATATTGGGCTATCATACTACCTTACTAGGCTACCGTTTTACACTACCGTTTAGGGGGTGCTGTCAACATACTGGACCTTGCTGATACCATGCTTTCCGCAACCATAATAGATTTTCTGCCGCCATAGGGAACTTTCTGCCACCATAGTCGACTTTCTGCCACCGTACTGGACTTTCTGCCACCGTACTGGACTTTCTGCCACCGTACTGGACTTTCTGCCACCATACTGGACTTTCTGCCACCGTACTGGACTTTCTGCCACCGTACTGGACTTTCTGCCACCGTACTGGACTTTCTGCCACCGTACTGGACTTTCTGCCACCGTACTGGACTTTCTGCCACCGTACTGGACTTTCTGCCACCGTACTGGACTTTCTGCCACCGTACTGGACTTTCTGCCACCGTACTGGACTTTCTGCCACCGTACTGGACTTTCTGCCACCGTACTGGACTTTCTGCCACCGTACTGGACTTTCTGCCACCGTACTGGACTTTCTGGAACCATATTGGACTTTCTGGAACCATATTGGGCTTTCTGACACCACAGTAAACTTTCTGCCACCATGCTAGACTTTCTGCCAGCATGCTAGACTTTCTGCCACAATGCTGGACTTTCTGCCACAATGCTGGACTTTCTGCCGCAATGCTGGACTTTCTGCCGCAATGCTGGACTTTCTTCCACAATACTGGACTTTCTGCCACCATAGTGGACTTTCTGCCACCATAGTGGACTTTCTGCCACCATAGTGGACTTTCTGCCACCATAGTGGACTTTCTGCCACCATAGTGGACTTTCTGCCACCATAGACTTTCTGCTTCCTCCCACCATAGTGGATTTTCTGCCACCAAAGTCAACTTTCTGCCCCTATACTGGACTTTCCACATCCCTACTGGGCTCCCCCTCCAATTGTTCCACACTGGATCTGGACACCCAGCCAGAGGGCCGCAGGCAGCGGAGCGCCCACCTTCGGTGTGACGGTGTCCGGGGTGAGGGTGTCGAGCTCGGCCTGGAGGCGCTCTGCGAAGCCCGGCAGCAGGGTGAGCCCCCCGCTGAGGTAGATGCTGCGCGCCATCTCCCGGCGTATGTCCATGCTGCACTCCTGCAGGGCCCTCTGCACCAGTTTGTGCACCCCTCCACTGTCCAAGCCCCACAGCTCGGGCTGGAAGAGCCCCTCAGGGGCCTGGAACCGCCCCACATCCACAGAGACGCTCCTGCGTGGGACAAAATGGCACTTAGATGGGGGTCAGCTTATGGGGGAATCTGGTCACTGTTGGGGGACGCAGGCAGGAGAAAAGACTACTGTACTTGTGGCCTGGCCCCAGTATGCGAATGGACACAACACTGCCTACTGGAAAATTAGAGCCAGCTTTCTGTAACTGGCACCATTCCGCTCCATGTACTCGAGCCTACCATCGGCTGCCCTTTTCACATTCAAAAACTCAAGAAATTGCCTATAACTCTCTAATACGACAATAGTTATTCTAAAAAAACGGCATCTGGTTTCGACGGCTAGCGTTACATTTGGGCGAAAGTTGAGCGTTCGGCAATGCATCATGTATTTTTGCTAAAAAAACAAACAAAAGAAAAAAAACTCCATTTCTTTTTTGTTACGGCACCCCGAGCACGGCGTGCCTCTAAAAGGTGCGAGCACAGGGTTGCTCACTCCGCAGGGCAGTCCTGCTGGAAGAACCTCCCGATGGGCACACTCTTCTCCACCGAGTCCGGATCAAAGTGGAACCTCCTCAGCTCCTGCGCGTAGTTGCCAGCCACGTAGCAGGCCTGCTGCTGAACATACCGCACCAGGTACAGGTCGACGTCGCTGAACAGGCTGCAAAGAAACGCTTATTTAGGAAACGACAGCTTGAAAGCCAACAAAAGGCTTGAGAGGCATCCAAATGAGCTGGGATCGCTGCTACAGGGAAACCTCAGTGCAACGAAGTCTGTTATTTCGGATGTAAATCTTTACTAAATTAGCATTTTTGCCACACGACAGTGCCCTAAATGCAAATGTAGGCAGTCCTGGCAATCCAAAGACTGGACAATCGGGTTCAATAAAAAAAGGTGTGAAATCTTTCAAAGCTCCAAAGAATTCCGCATCAGATGGCAATACCCGTCCAAGCAAACCACTATAGGGCCTAGACTTCAGTGTTGACAACTGCTCGATCAAGATAAGATGGTTAATGGACAGCGTTAGCAATACAAGCTGCAAGGTGTTTGTGAAAGCATCCCATTGTCTGCAAATGTTTCCAACTTTCCCTTAGCCTCTCCATCCGCCATCCTCCCCAACACACGACCCTGACTGCTTCGCAAATCAGGGCCAAGATACCTAGACTCTGGCCAAAAGAGGTCAAGTTAACTCTACCTCGGCTTCTTCATGCTTTCGAAGGTCCCAAATTCCCAGACAAAAACTAAATTTTGACACGAAAAACTGTGCCACCTGGGGAACCAGCTGTCCGCAAGCTTCGGACGCTATTTCCTCTGGGGCCCTGGGGATTCCGCGTTGCCGAGCAGGGTGGCTCCGGTATCGAGAGTGACGACAATCAAAAGGTGACTCACCTGACCCTCTTTTGCACCAATGCCTGGCGCAAGTGATGAGCCAGCTTGTGAGCGCCATAGGGTAGCCTAGTCACCCCGCCTTCCACGATGTACCCTGGGGATGGAGGTGAGAGAGACCCTTCAACACGCAATTGCTAGAGCTGCACGCTGTTCGGAGGCTGGAAATACAATCTAAATTGCATCAAAGAAGATGAATCGCATTTCAAAATCTGTCACTTATTGTACACCCAAGGCTCCCTCCCTCATTCGAGTGAGCCTCGGAGCATAGTTTATTCCCAAACTTTACTGTTAAACCCATCATGCAGCAATAAAAAAAATGGTTCTGTCCAGTGTGCCAAGAGTCAGTGACTACCGTCCATGAATGAAGACCATTGAATCACGATATGAACTCAGGACATCAAGTTTGACCCAAAACGCGAGATCTCTCCTCCGAAACCAGACATGCGGTACATCACCGTTTCGGCACAGATACCATTTCTTGATGGACACCTTCTGGATTTGGTCATTCACCGGGCTCCACCCATATTAAACCGCTGCAACTATAGTCTCAGATATTTTGTGCTACTTTGTCAAGGACAGAGCAGCGTTCACAGTGCTGTAGCTTCAAGCTGCTTCACCCTCTCACGTCTTGTTCGCATGCACCCTTGAGTGAAGGAAACGCCAAACGAAGCCACGTGTTGATGCAAGTATCTTTTACAGCGTTGGAGCACTGCGGAAGCCACGCAGTACTCCAATAGCCTTGACGACACAAAACAAAACAGTTGGCAGCGTGTAAGGAGTGCCCAAACATTCTTCTGCTTAGGGTGCGCAATGCCATCATTTGCAGTACCTGATGCAGACGGAATTTGCTTATAGGGAAAATACTAAGAAAGAGCTGAATAACAGCAAAATATAAAATGCCGCCACAGGGATCAACGTTGGGAGTTTGTGATGAGAGGCACTTTTTCAGGCACTCCAGATGGAAAAAGAAAAAAAAACGCCGCAATGCTAACTCCCTAAAGGCCTCTTCACATGCGCTTGTTTCCTTATACAACCGAGGTCTCGCAATCTCTTATCACGGGAGAACATACTGGCACCTTGGTGCCATGTATAAGGCGACTCTGAAACTGCATTTCACTAAAGTAAAGCTTTCGAAGTATTTGAGAGACCAAATGTACACGTCATCTACGAGAAATGGTGTTTATAACCGGGGATCCGTGTTTTCGATACACACCTGTTAACTATGAAATGGCCAGAAATAAAATTCCGCCAGAACACAGTCAGCATTAAAAGTCCATGCTGGTGCAGGGGGACACTCTTTCTTGCCCCCCGGGGCAAAAGAAAAAAAACAAAAAACATTGCAACGCAAAATGGTCCAATGTCACCACTCCAAGACAAGACAGGCTTTCGGCACACCACGAGATAAATCAAACTCTCGAACACTTTCTAAAGGGGCGGTCTCGGCTGGACCGAGCGAACGTAGACCGACGCCGACCCCGAAAGACGCGTCCAAGTGGAGGACCGCGTGAGTGCAACCGACCGTCGGTGATGGGCACGATGTCCAGCCGGTCCCCCAGGTCTACCACGATCCCAGAGGTGGTGTTGTAGGCGTAGAGGGCGCAGATGGCCTGGTGAGTCACGCTCAGGCCGCCCACCCCCAGACCCTCCAGCAGGGCCCTCGCCAGCGCCACCTGGGTCTGCAGGCTGAAGCTCCGAGGCACACACACCTGCACCTGCGGGGGAAGAGGGGCACGCCGGGGAGGGGCGTCGATCAACACCAGAGCAAAATGCGGCCGGTGACTTCGCGGTCCTTAGACTACCCGGTCTGGGAATCTTTTCCTCACGCAACAAGAAAGTTTTTCACTGATGCAAGTTGAAGCGGGTGCGCCGCCGACGTTAGCGGTCAACCAATACAGTCGCTCGGAGAACTCGCGACGGAAGGACGTGGATTCTGAGAAGCCACCGAAGAGGAAGTAGCTAAATGCGTACGCTCTTCCATAACCCCGCGGACCCGTCGAAAAGATGGGTATTTGAAAATGCCGTCCGTACTTATAATATACGGGTCACATTCTTTTTGTATAATCGAAACGTCACGTGAAGCTCGTTACGTCCGCTTTAAAAAAAATTCAAGATTTATTTTCTATTTTATTATCTTCTAACTTTTTACATTTTTGTTTACTAATACTTGGGTCAGTACCGAATGTGGTGACAAAATGTACCAGGGAAGAAACCGCCGAAGTTTCCAGACCAGTAAGCATTTTACCTAATGACCATGGCGACATGTGCGACCGAAAGCCTTGCATTGGTCGAACTTCCAGGATCGGTCAAGAGCCCTGGCTACGGCTTCTTTATATTTTGCAAATGTGTGCCCGGGGGGGGGGGGGGAGAGGTAAAGACCTTACTTTGTACTGCGAGGGGTTGGTGATGCCGAGGTCACGGAATATCTTCCTCATCAGGCCTGGCAGCGCTTCGACGTCCATGGTGAACTGGAACGACAGAATCAATGTCCAGTATTTCACACTGGCTCATCGTTGTTGCCACCTGCCTACTCTGTTACATGTTGAGAGACTGAGTAGGCAGAACAGCTTAGTGGAGAACAGGAAGAAACACAGGTTCAAAGGCTAAACTGTCCCATTTATGCGTGTAACAACAGACATACAATAAAATACCCTGGACCTTATGCAGTGGAACCCCGTATACGAGGAGCTCCGTCGGTTGAGCATTTTAGTTTCACATATCAGTGTTTAGAAAATCCTAAATTTCTGGATTGATGTCAAAATAAGCCACCAAAATATAGCAATAAAATGCAGTCATGTTTCATTAATATGGATACCTTGCTACATGGAGACCATTTTTAGGGACAAACTGGGAAAATACATGCATTTTTGTCTCACTATTGTCAACTCATAGTATGGATGATTTTTGGAGGGAACGTAGGCGTCCATATTAACGAGACATCGCTGTAAATATAGCGGATACAACTACCTTAACCAAGCTGCAAAGGAAGTATTTTTTATAAAAAAAAATAAAATCACTAAAGACTACAGAATTATAGGGAATCGAAGTAAATTGACTTCCGTAAACTACCGGGTGACCGATTCTGGTAACCTGAGAATAATCCAAATAACGCGGACATCCACATGTTACAATGCATGCAAACATGTTTAATTCTGAAAACAGCATGCTTAGAAATGGTAGCTTGGAGAATAAGTGAGCAGAAACAGCGATCCACCTTGGAGATTTTGGCGGAAGGTACCAGTGGGAATGTGAGATGGGATGTCTTGCGGACTTCGGGGGTCAGGGCTTCAATCCCGAAAGTCTGCTGGCCCCTGGAGACAAAAAAGAAAAAAAACGGGCAATGTGCCTCGTAAATCACTAGTGTGACTGATCACCATATCTTTACGACGCAAAACTCGCCTTAAAATTTCGAAGTGCCTTGGTAGGACACACTTGTTGCAAAACAAACTGCAGCGGACTTATTAATTCAAACTCGAGGAAGTCGCACATTTCTTTCGAATTGTCGGAATTTTGAATTATCACTAGAAGATACTCATCTAAATATGATGCAAGATAAAATTATGACTTGCTATATGAATGACTAGGCATATACAAAGCAGATATTTGACGGTTCCTCTACATAGAACTACTAATTATAAATAAGCAGGTATGCCACACATGAAACATTGGTGAAATGAATGACACAAGTTTATTCATCCTCCAAAAATGTTGTTTACCTCAAAAACAAAATTAAGTTTGTTTATCCAGCAAAAAAGTTGTCTATTGTTGACTACTAAGCAGCGAACACATCAGCGACGAAAGCGGGCGCTGCGCGGCAGTTTGCATAGCAACTTGAGCAGATGCTACGATGTGGACCTATGCTGCGCCGCCACATCTTAGCGTCCAGGCACGATGCTATGGAAACTGCCGCGGGGCGCCCGTTTTCATCGCTCGTGTCCCGTTTTAGCTCCTTTGAGTGCGCTTCTCACCGAGCATTGGTGCACTGCGGAGAAGCAACACCCGCAGAAGCGAGCTCCGCAGGTATTGCTTCTCCGCGGTGTACCGGTGCTCGGAAAGAAGCGCGATGCACCGGGCCACAAGAACAAGAAGTATGAATTACACAAAAACGCCGTTCGATATAAGCAGCTCGTAAATACATTGAAAAACCCAAATTTTTAAATTTATTGATTTAACCAGAAATATGAAAAAAAACAAAAAACATGGGTCACAATTTCTCAAATGAATCCTCGCAAAATACATATTGCACAGAAAAAAACAAATTTGAGAAAAGTTGTCATCTTTTCCGATTGAGGCACTGACGGGGCCACAAGAACAAGAAGTATGAATTACACAAAAACGCCGTTCGATATAAGCAGCTCGTAAATACATTGAAAAACCCAAATTTTTAAATTTATTGAATTAACCAGAAATATGAAAAAAAACAAAAAACATGGGTCACAATTTCTCAAATGAATCCTCGCAAAATACATATTGCACAGAAAAAAACAAATTTGAGAAAAGTTGTCATCTTTTCCGATTGAGGCACTGACGGGGCCACAAGAACAAGAAGTATGAATTACACAAAAACGCCGTTCGATATAAGCAGCTCGTAAATACATTGAAAAACCCAAATTTTTAAATTTATTGAATTAACCAGAAATATGAAAAAAAACAAAAAACATGGGTCACAATTTCTCAAATGAATCCTCGCAAAATACATATTGCACAGAAAAAAACAAATTTGAGAAAAGTTGTCATCTTTTCCGATTGAGGCACTGACGGGGCCACAAGAACAAGAAGTATGAATTACACAAAAACGCCGTTCGATATAAGCAGCTCGTAAATACATTGAAAAACCCAAATTTTTTAATTTATTGAATTAACCAGAAATATGAAAAAAAACAAAAAACATGGGTCACAATTTCTCAAATGAATCCTCGCAAAATACATATTGCACAGAAAAAAACAAATTTGAGAAAAGTTTATTTTGTGACAAAAGTGTCGTGATGAGCATATTAAAAAAACTTTTTTTTTTTTTAGTTTGGTCTCCCTTTAACTTTTGGGACCCTTTAAAAACCTTAAAAGTGCACATTCAGTCACTTTTCGGAAAAAGGGGTCCGCCGAATCAAGCAGCCCAATCGTTGCTTTGCTATGTGAAAGTATAATTTCAGCAGCAAGGGCCTATCAACCTCTCTAACTTTCCTGCGATGACACCTATCTTTTGAGAATGAAAAAAGTCTCAGCAGTTTTAGCTTCGGTTGTGGTGGGCGCATTATTTTAATTAAGAGACAACAACTTAGAAATGTCCTACTCACGTGTTTTTGTCGGTGCTGCACACCGACGGGAAATAAACCGTCGGCATTGTAGCTGCAAGGAAGGAGGAAAGGCCTAAAGTAAAACAAACCGTGCCAGACCAACGTTCCGAAAACCTCCTACTTCTGCGTTTCACAGCAGAGGGTGGTAGCTGCTGTTAACTCATCGAAAGCTCATTATTCAGTGAACAAACAGGGTTGCGTACAAAACACGGACGCATTTCAGCAAAAAATAGGAGAAGACGCTTCGGGTGCTTTCTGTCGCCACCACAAACTCGGAAAGGTTTCAGCGCAGACTTACGTTGATCCATCAGAATCCCAGCTCGAATGGAACAGCCGCCCATGTCCACAACAATGACTCGCTGCACCCAGAGAAGAGAAATGAGCACACACAATCAGTACCTCAATCGGAAAAGATGACATCAGCTTATATTACCTCATGATCTAATAATCAATCTAATCATTGATAAAGGATAAATGCATAAACAGTCTTTTGTGACCTTATCATTTGTAGTCATTTATTGCAATTATTTTCACTGCATAAGGCTGTAAACTAACTATATACTAACTAGAGTGCAATCCACTTATAACGATGTGTTGCTTATAACAATTATTTTCTAGAGTTTCTAGACTAGATAGAAATGCTCAGCGACTAGTCCCGATACAACGATAATCAGTTATAACGATTGCATTTTCGGGTTTTCTCATTATTGTTTTAAGTGGACTGCAATGTATCTGCATCAGACGTAATTCAAACTTTTTTTGAAAAAATTGCAACTCAGTTCTGAAATTACTTTAAAATAAGTTAGTGCAGCTCAGAGGTAAACTACTCCAAAAGCAATTTAGCAGGGGCACAGACCCAGTCAAGTTGCACTTTTAATGGCTCTGTCCACGCTTTCAATGTCAAATAAAAATTGGTAGGATTACATTCCTGCACACTTTAGTGATCCAGCGACCATTTTCATTCAATTTTAACTTTACTCGAGAGCTCGGGAGCTGAACTTAACCCAGATATTATTGGCCTCTTTGATTGCTGTTTGATCGTCATTTGCCTGTAGTTCATTTGATTTCTGCGAGACTTTTTGTTTGTTGTTTCTCAGATGTGTGTTTGTCGCCCATCTGTCGTTTGCTTTCGATTACGTGCTTTCCTTTTCTCGCCGTGCGACTGTCGTCTTGTCCTTTATTTGATGTTTCTTTCCTTTGTTTCCCATTCTTGTATGTATGGTTTTTGTTATTTCTTCTATTTCTCTGTAACACATTGCAGCTTGAAGCACAGGTGTGGGATGAAAGCTTGAGGCTATAGTCCTAATTAGGGTGCCTACATGTTTCCGCTCCGCTTTAGGGTGGCGCCAACTTCTTGTTACCCTTTCCCAGATCCTTTCCCACCGCCATTTTTACCCACTTCTTATTTGGCTAAACGTACACAACGTTGAGTTTTCGTAGTTTCGACACACCGGCAACACTGTGAGGCCACTTCCGTTTCCGTTCATAAGAGGAGTCGGACGAGTCGGAGGCTCAGCGGGATGGCGGTCGTCGTGGCTGTCGCTCTCCTTATTCGGGTGTTTCCTACCTTGAAGTTGCGAGCAGGAAGTATGCGTTACGTTCATCGAAACGCGAGTCCCCTCGACAAAATGGAACGCAACAGACCGGCATCGCACGCCGAAACCTCGCCGTCGGAACGAGAGCGGTTGGCGCTCCCTAGCACTAACGAGGATTAGCGGAGTAGCGCGAGCGCACGACTGGCGAGTGTGACAAAATGGTCGACGAAACAGCGGAGGCTGCCATGGTAACGAGGTAGGCAACACTGGTTTGTCGGCAACAGGTATCACAAACGTTGTCGCCACCCTAAACAGCGGAGCGGCGGAAACATGTAGGCACCCTAGTCCTAATCTTTCCAGTTGGAGTCTGCAAGAGCTCAAGAAACGCAAGACGTAGCATACTGCGTCCACGCTTCTTGCTTCGCGATTCGTTCTTCGTATCACCGAATTCCGCAATGCAATAACAAGACGATTTGGACTCGCCGTGCCCTGTGTTCCTTAAGGTGTGACTACGCTCGCTATGGATTCCAGTCACCTTGTGGCTGGCAAGCGGCCTCAGAACCGGCTGGACAAAGCTCTTGGCGAAGTTGTCCTGGCACTGGGAGTGGAGGGCGTCCAGCCAGGCCTCTGCGTCCCGCTCGCTGCTGCACTTGACCGCAATGTAGTGCCCCTTCTGCGAGGATCATTCGCGGGTCAGCAAGCTCAACTGGCGGTCACATGTCTGCGATGGCAAGCTAGTCAAAAACAGCAACTGTAGTAAAAAAAAACTTTTTACGCAATCATACGACAAAATATGCAGTTGAATAGGAAGACACTGAACAGAAATCCAGGACTTGTCACCAATTACTGCTTTAGACGACTCGGATCTGCATTTTCCCCCGAATTCTGAATTTCCACTGTATTCAGTTAATTAGGACCGACATTGAATAGTAAGATGCCTAGCATTTGCTGCAAATTTAAAAACTTTCTATGAAAACGTTTGTTGAGTTTACTAATGAAAAACAAAATGTGGTAAAACTTTTTTGTAAGGTAGTAAAAAAAAAAAAGCAGAGAACAGCATTGACAGCATTCTTTGGTTGTCTTTTTTTACAAAGAATCATAACCATTCCTGAAAAATGCAATCTAACGTCGAAATCAGAGGTAAGCAAAAACGACAAGTGTCATGTACCTCTCAATTACCCGTTCATTTTGTTTGCTAAATATGCCACAGCTGGAAGTCAGCACTTTGTGCATCCTAGCCGTTTTTAGGGTTTCATACTTTACGCATCGTTGATTAAAGAACAAAGCTTTACCGACCGTCGCTTTTGCAAGATGTCCTGGCAGGAAGACAGCTAAAGAGAAGTAAAAACATCTAGGGCACCTTTGGGTGTCACAAAGCTTGCAAGTAAGGAATTAAAAGAAAGCACCTCTAAATTGGACAGATATCTTACCCTGTCATCGATGCCAATCATGTTGTTCTCTAGGGTGTCAATGTTGCCTCCCATCAGCTGCGCTTTTACAAATGGCCTCTGCGAGTTCTCACTCTGCAAAGAGATTTTATATCATGTCCAGTTAGCATGCATGTCAACAGAAAAAACCACGCACCTCCAAAAACATTTTTTTTTTCTTTTTTTTTATTCACAAAGATACATTAAGCATCGTAGAATGATCAGTCGCCACCAAAAGTAGCGCTAGCAGTCCAGACCGCATGCCAAAGTTTCAGAGCTTGCCGTTATCCAATTAAAAATTTAAAAGCGATTTCTTAAAGTCTCTATTAAAAGAATGTATGCCGACGAAGCCCACAAACACATAGTGATGAACGGTAAATTGAAAATTAAAATTTGGGGGGGGGGGGGGGGGGGGGGGGGGGCTTTATGTGCCAAGTCAACGAAGGACACCTTGCCCCTCCCACCATCGGAGGACTGAGGATTTATTTCGACCACACGGGGATCTTGGACGTGCAACCAAAAGCCGAGTTACACGCCATCTTCTTCGCAATCGGCCTTCGTGTAATTAATGGCGTTGGCAACTAAGCAAAGGACATTCATTCACTGCGACCAGCGTGTGGCTGGTCCCCGTACCTCGAAGCAGGAGAGGTTGCCGTCGCAGAGTCTGAAGTATCTCCGCTTCCAGGGATTCCAGTAGGTGGCCTTCTTGCGGTTCGAGGGCATCATGTCTAGGTAGCCCTCCTTGTTCACATACTCCACGCCGCCCAGGTCTCGGCCGTGCTGACAGAAGCGACGGCAGCAGGAAAGTAGGTGAGCAAAAGAAAGAAATGGCCACAAGCAAGCTAGATAGAGGAATCCACAGGTTGTGTAGGATCACCACGCGCGTAACAACCATCTTGTGAAGCGGTAATCCGTCCATGCTTTTTTTTTTCCATGCAATTTCTGAATATTTAGTTTAAGTGTAAACGAATTTGTTGATGTGGCATTTTTTCAGTGTTGGGTAAAGTATATCTAAAAAGTACTTTAAGTAAAGTACAAAGTAAGTGTAAGGTTATGTATTTCAACTAAAGTAGCGAGTACACTAGGCCCAATGTACTTTAAGTACTATAAATACAATGTACTTTCAAAGGAAAGTAAAAGTACCTTTAGAGGGTAACTGCAAAGAAAAAAAGTTTTTTTTTGAACAGCCTAATTGGGACAAGCATGTTACAAAACAAATCTTCTGCGAAAAAAACAAATTTTTTTAGCAATATTTACACCACAGGACGTAGTTTAGTCGGAGTCACAACCTCCCCACATTTGAAACTCCCGTTCTTTCGACGCGCGGAGTAACTGTTACATGTCACCTTGTGACGTATAGCAGCCACTCCGTGACGTATAATACCAACTTTGTGGAGCGCGATTTAAAACGGACAAAATAGCCACAAACTAAAATCAGCCCCGCGCAATAAATATTGCTGTAAAAATTTTTGTTTTTGTTGGAAAAATTGTTTTGTGACATGCTTGTCCCAATTAGGCTGTTTAAGAACACACTTTTTTTTTTTGCAGTTACCCTTTAATGCATTAGCATTAGAACGCTCATTTTGACGAAAACCTGGAAGTTTTTCGTTTGTCAGTGTTGGGGAGAGAGGGAGGGGAAGGGGAAGAGGATGACTCATGCGACACTCCCACTGGTCAAAGCGCTGACATCAGAACGCGACTCTCCCTTTCTCCCCGGCGCTGATAAACTGACAGACGCCGCTGGGTTCACAACACTGTGTTTTTATGACCAGGCCATGTCTTTACATTGCTTTTCACTGCGTCTTTAATCCTTTAATAAGAAGAAGCTTAATTGTGACATATTAAAACAAATGCAATTTATTTAGTAGGACAATTAAAGCTGGCTGTCAAGCACGATTGTTTTCAAAAAGTTAGTTCAGTATCAGCAAAAATTGAAAGAACTGCACAAGATGTGCGGTCATGTGACGACAGGAATAACAAATAAAAAGAAAGAATTGTCTAAATTGCTCACCAACTGAGGAGGCTCAACACTGTACAACTCCTTGAGAAGCTCCGTCTGAAAAAAAAAACCGAGGCAGAAAGTCGCGTCGTGAGCATTCGGCGGGTGAAACGAAAAGAGTTGACCTGAATGAAAGCAGTGGTAAGGATAACACCTATTACCTTAACAGTAACAAATGCTCAAGGGTCATCGGACAAGGCAGCCTATCGTCGTAGGCACCATTCAAAATTTTCCCAACAACTGCAAATTTCCTTCATTAACGAAGACTTATGCACCCCGACATACAATATGATAATCTCTTTAATGTAAGGAGGGACATGAAAAGACGTGGATATAAAGTAGCATTGAGGTGCACTTTCAGTACTGCTATAAGCACTTTAGGTAGTATACATAAACTTTTTCCTGAAAAACAAATCCTTGGTATGAAGAGGCTCTTCCGTGGTACTATAAACAGCAGCCATCACTAGCATCACTTGTAGCTACACAATCGAAACAAATTAAATTAACCTGCCTCAATCACCGCGACACTACGGCCAAGGCTGCGCTGCCACTCAACCAATGCGCCGTCATTCCGCAACCGCCCAATCCCACACAACGCACCAAACACGCCGAGCAACTCACAGGGTCCCAGAAGAGTGTGGAGCTCCGTGGCATCCGCTCCTCCTCGACCGCCTCCGCAGAGCAGAGGGCATCCCTGCCGGCGAGCACCACGTTGGAACCGCCGTTCGACACCCCGTTTACGTCGGGCACACTGTTCGTCTTCGGGGTCACCAAGTTCGTACCCGCGTCGTTCGTCGCAAAGCTCACTCTCGTCACAGATGTCGTCGCACCCGTCACAAACGTCACTGGCAGGCTCGTGCTCAACATGGTTGCGTTGGTACGTTGCAGCGGAACGTTCACGGGCAGAGTCACGTTCCTCGAAGAAGCAACACCACCGCCGCTCGGAGGTGACGAGGTCGTTCGTATGGTCGTAGCCTTGGGGAGGGAAGAAAGGGGGGAGAGCGAAGGGGTGATGCGGCTCTGCTTGGGGGAGGTGGGCCGACCGTTTTCGGTGGGGGTGGGATCGAAATTCCGAGGGCTGGCGTTGTACCTCCGTCGGACGGGGACCTCGGGAGCCACGGAGACGCTCTCGAAGCTCTGGATCAGGTGCGCTAGCTTGGAGCTCGAGGTTTTGGCCGGGGGTGGGTTGACCCTGCGCTCTTCGGGCAGGCTCATTGAGCTCTGGGCTTGAAGAACCTGGTGGGATGGAATATAGAGAAATTATAAATTCTGTTATTCAACTGAATGAGCTTCGATGAACTGAAGTCCCGTCTACAAAACGAAATCGATTAAATCACTCAATTATTCAAAGATTTTAAATTTCACGCTATGTTACGCTGGTGCCGAGGCCGATTTGGTAGATTTTTGCATGAGGGCTCGCTTAGAGCGTTGAACGTCTTTTCCTATGCTTATTGCTTCCTTCTACACAACTTTCAGTTATCACTAAAAATGTAGGTACAGCGCACAATAAAGACAACATGTAAGGAAGTTTTGTCTTCCGTATTTTCTTTTGTGTGCACTTGACTCACCCTTCTAGACAGGGATGGGCAGTATTTCAAATACAAGTATTTGAAATACGTATTTCAAATACTTTGTGTATATTGAATTTGTATTTAATTACAAATTGGGTAATGTATTTTACGTGTGTATTTAAATACTAAAACGTGGGTATTTCAAATACAATTGTAATTAAATACAATTTTGTGGGCGAAAATACATCCCTAAAATTTATTGTCACTGTCCAGAGCAGGAAGAAAACTACGTTCTGCACCGAATGCAGTGTCTTTCTATCAAGCACACGCGTTTAGTGACTGATTACTGTGCTAGTCCAGGGCAAGACTAGTGACAAAATCGACGTTCACCGGCAGACTGGCTAAATAAGTGCCTGTGACAACTTGTGATGCTTTCCAGTCCGATTTCCTCCACATTTTTGCCTGGAACATTTTAAATGCGCGGGTCGTCCAGATTTCTGTAACTGGTGCGAGTTGCAACAATAAAAAAATCTCTAGCTAGTGCTGCGCGTCTTGGTCGTCTCAGTTCTTTGTTGGTCCATACCAAAATGTAATCGACAAAAAAAGCTGCCTGAAGCTCTGTACTTTTATCACCTAATACGTCCAAGCTGATTACATTTTTTGTGATTATATTTCTATTACGTTGCTAGAGCCTTGCACACTAACTCCCGAGTGTGCGATGCAAAATTAAAATGAGATACACAGAAACCCGTTGCAGGTGCCCTGAAGTCGCTCACGCAAATTTTGAGGAATGTATTTGGAAAAGTATTTGGAGGGAGACCAAATACATTTGGTTGTATTTGTATCTTGTATTTAAATACGTTTTTGGAAATGTAATTAGATTTGTAATTAAATACATTTTTGACAAAGTATTTTGTATTTGTATTTCGATACATATTTGCATGTATTTTGCCCATCCCTGCTTCTAGACATGATCAATTGAGATGCCAAAGTTTCAGTCTTTAGAAGTTTATTTAACAAAACTTTCTCAGTTCTGCTTTTCCCCATTCAAATAAATTTTACTATTTTTATCTTTATTTCTGTTTCAACACAAGACCCAGGATGAGCCTTTGGGATTAACACGCTGTGACAATGGGAAGCCTCCTTAGCTTTCCCTTCCCTTGCCTCTCCGTGTCTTGCCAAGAGGATGGGTAGCCTTTCTTCCTTTCCCTTGCCTTAACTCTCCACGTGCACCTCGATAAAGGAATGTCGTGTCACTAGGCAGACTTCGCAGAAAAGATGTAGGATTGTGCGAATGCTTGAATTTTCGAATATTAGTTTAGAATAATACGCTATTTACTTGGAGGTCAACTGCGATATTCTTACTTTTCGACATATTGATTGCGGCGGAATAGCCCCGTTGAGCGCGCTTCTTACCAAGCACCGGCGCACTGCAGAGAAGCAACACCCGCGAAAGCGAGCTCTGTGGGCATTGCTCCTCAGCAGTGCACCGGTGCTCGCAAAGAAGCACGCTCAAAGGGGCAAACCTACCGCGAGCAGTCGCGTACTTTGGAGAAAAGCACATTTTCAAAGCGGTATGCTGCACGCGTGTGCCTTGTGTACTTAGGAAGAAATGGAAACCTTGTTAGTGTTGATATATAGATCGTAGTAATATTTTCATAAGTGAACTACTACAGCATGTTAGGCAGAGATGTCTTAACAACCTGCATTCATAATTCGTGATTATCTTTTTCTTCTCAAATTCGAGATTGAAGAAAGGGTTTTCGCATATAGCAACATTTATAAATCCCCTCGTTTAGGTATAGCAGGGCATCTATATAGGTCTAATTTTTTGTCGTAATTGTTGCTTAGTCTTCAATCTTTCTGAGATCTCAGTTCATAACTACAGTTCGATTAAAAGTAATTTTGGACAACTAAATGCTTGAGAACGAACTTCACGAGTTCAGCTGCCTTTTCATTTGGGCATGAGGCAACAGTAGTGCAATCTTGAAAAAACTATTCAATATTCGATTAAAAAATCAGCCAAAACCACAATTAGCTTCCCATTTGCATCGAACTCAAAATTCACACTGGTGTCAGAACAGGAAGGGCAGGGGTGTGTGTGCTGCAGGCAAGTATTAAGAACATTCACATGACACCCACAAACCGGTAGTGCACCAAAGCTTACAACTTTCATCACACCCCTTCTTTTTTTCCATTTGTTTAATTTCTTCTGGTAAAACATTTTCTTACTCACTCCACGCACTCAACAACAAACAAGTTTAACAAAATGGCAGACTGACGTCCTGCGAGACACCGAAATCCCACCTTCTGCAGGGAGTCCGGCCCGTTGCACTGCACAGACACGCTGGACCGCGACGTCGGCGTCGCGTCCTTCTCTTCCGGCCGCGCTAAGGTCGAGGCCGGGCAGGGCGCTTCGTCCTGCTGGGGCTCCTCAGCGAGCGGCACGCAGTCGAGCGCACTGGGGGAGTCCGAGCTCTCAAGCAGGAGGGAACCCTGGGCGCTGTCTGCGTCCTCCGAGCTCCCGGGGGCCTTGGGGTGCGACCGGGAGGAGCCGAGGCCATAGGGGTCGTCCCCTACCCCCTCCTCCTCTCCGCAGCTGCTCCGCTGGTCGTCGGTCACCCCAGAGTCGCACTCGTTGGTGACTGCGAGCTTGGACCGGTCGTGGCTGTACGGCGGATCTGAAACAACAACAAAGCACGTGCTTTGGGTTAGTTAATACTGCTAAAACTCGGTGTTCTCTGGTTCAGGAGAGACGAGGCAAAAAAAATCTGAAAATCAGCATTTTGACGAGGCCCTGTTTCTTTATGGCAGAAAGCGGCAGAAAAACTAAATAATGAAAAGCTCAAATTCGATACCAATTACTACTAGATTTAACATTTTAAAAGCTGAATTGAGGCAATATCTAAAAAATCACGTTACCAAACAAAACACTAAAAGTCACGTAGCACGCGCACACACTTCTATTCCCTAGTAATATCTATATTTCTACTTTCGAGCAGTGATGGCAATGTGTATTGGCACGGCATACTTCTACATAGTCGGCAAAAGGTTTAAAGGTAATGCATTTTCTTTCTCTTGTCCGCACCATTGTTTTCTTTGGATCAAAAATCTTTTGACCTTGTTATAAACTACCATTTCTCATAGACAGTATGCATAATCTAATCCTGCAAATACCGCAAAACCTTTGCTCTAGTGATATACAATTCCAGGGTTACCTCATAGATGGAGCCAGCATGCAATGTATGCTCCCGTAACAAGAGGTCGCAAGAGTTGGTCGTAAGCAAAAGCGAGTGTTTGAACGGGCCTTTCCTAAGAGTGCCAGATCTGTAAAGCCCTCCACTCTTTCCAGTTCAGGAGACCAAATGCCAGAGAGGAGGCGAGGAGGGACTTGCCTCCTCTCCAGCTTGCATTAATTTTAAGTCGTATTAAAATATGCCTTCCTAAGAAAAAAAAAAGGACCAGATGAGTTTGTTAGCATTATTGCAAAGATTCCATGTATTCATGCACTGCTTAAAGCTCATTTAGTAATTTTAAGCTTTAACTGTGCATTCAAACTAAAGGAGAAATATATGTAGAAAGTTAAACCTACAAGTCAACCGACTACATGCAATCGGGGTTATTTGAATGTCTTGCTACACAAAAATATTGTTCTTAAAATATTGAATTAAAACAAAATCGGGAGGAATGATGCAGGCAACTTGTCCATGTATCCCAGTCAGTAATATATACAAGCATCAACTGAATGATGAAAATTTTAACACAAGGCAGAATTATCGCATTAGCGAGTTCTTTTCCTCTTCTTTTTTTTGTTTCAATACCCAACCGGAGCGTAACTTCGCTTTGAACGAGTCTTGTTCCTTGCAGCAAGCGGCTGCACTGCGGCGAAGCGAAATACGCAGGATCGCGATGTCCGCACCGCGGGTGCCACTTTGCCGCAATGCACCGGTGCGATAGGAGAAGCGCACTCAACAGAGCTCATTTTCCTCGCAGGAATGAATCGCGAACGAGAAATATTAGGGAGTTTTCGTAGACCGCGTTTCCCCCTCCGCTAAGCCCTCCGCAACGAAACAGCCGCTACTGCGCCGGCGCGCCGACGGCCTTCACTGCAGAGTTCCGGCTAGCGCAGCTGGTTGCGGAGAGCGTTGCGGAACAGCGGAAACGATCTACGAAAACTCCCTATTGTGGAAGTTTGCAGGTGCCGTCAGCGTTCGATACGAAAATTAAACAAGACAATAACATTATTCGAAGCAATAAACGGAAGTTTTGAACATACACACAAGTTTAACCGTGGGAATCCTACAGTGCAGCAGGCGCGAGAATTGAAATAAAGTTGCGCAAATGAGGGTGAACTTTTGTCGCAATGTTGGCGCCAATTCCTATCACCTTGATACGATGTGGCAGGGTAAACAGTGTGGCGCAAATGGCGTAGCAGGCAGATCACTAAGAGCATGGTTAAGTAAAGATATAAATTCGTGCGCAAATGCTCGTCCATGTAAAAAAAAAAAGTTTGTGAGAAGTATTATACGCTCTCCGGAGAACTGTGACCATCGGTGTCCTGGCTGGTAAACACACGCCTCACATAATGCCCCGGAGTTTGTGTTGGACGAGGTAAGAGCGCTAAAGTGCTGCTCTTTATAGCCATTTGTGTCCAGAAGAAAAAAGGGGGGATAATTCAGTTAATTAATTTTGTTATTTCAACTCCTGGTATCATTCAGTTACACAAGAGAGCTTGACAGGAAGTTGTCAACAAGCGTTAAAAACCGCGATATCGAATTGAGAAACATGGGGACAATATGCGCACACTCATGCATACGCAAAATCGCATATGTGCACAGAGAAAAATAAAAGCCTACGCGCTGCAAACGCGCCATCTGTCTCCATCCTCCGCACAGCAGCTCCTTATAACAAAGCAGTAGTGATTGAATCCCGGACAAAAGCTCACCAGGAGAAAATTTCGTGTCGGTCTAAAAACGAGCGCGGACAACTTAGGCGCATGCGTGCGACACTACAATACAACGATAACTTAAGCCTAACTAACAGGCACATGCTTTGTTGACTGGAGCGGGAACAAGTTCATTTACCGGTTGGTTTGAAGCGATTGCAGTCCCCTACTGTCTCCAGCAGTCCTGGTAGATTTCGGTGTATCTGGAGCCCCTCGCGAGTATTTTTCAGACATATCCGGGATACCTGGAGTCAACTAAGCTTGATCTAATCAGCTCCACTCAGTTTCGGTGACACGCGTAAAGTTTTGGCATGTTGCACGTAAATGGAGCAATGTCCATCGCGTCCGCACTTCAGCATAGCCCGTGTTTCGCCCGGGTTAGCAGAAAAAAAAAAAAAGAAAGGTGGGCTTTTGTCAAAGTCCGTGAAAGAACGGGTGAGCTTTTGTCCGGTTACTGTAGTGATGAACTCCAAAGAAGGCCTGAGCAGGGCACAGATTAGTCACAAGTACAGAGTGAGCGTTGGGCTGGGACTGGTTTCATCACTCGTTAAACACGACTCCCGGTCGAACACCCACGTAACTTCCAAAGCATTCATTTTGACACCATGAAACTGTTCGTAATCAGTTATGAACAGAGTCTGTGGTTCAAAAAGGGAACCCCTGACGTAACCTTTTCATTGTTGCCAACATAAAAACTTATACTTTAAAAAAAAATTCTTTCTTCCTTGGCTCAAAAAACGTTAGGCAATTTTATAAATGACAATTTCTAATAGATAGCACGCCCATTTAAACACGCAAATACCACAAAACCTTCGCTTTAGTGAAATGCAGTTCCAGGGCCACCTCGTGGATGACACCAGCGTGCCATTGTGTTCTTTCGTCGCAACAGCTCAAGACCCCGACGCAATCGAAAACGTGTGAGCCAGCCAGACTACGAGGACAAGCGCTACAAAGCGTATAAACAGCTCAAAATCAGCCTTTCCTACCTGGTCCGCCGACGAGAAAAGAACGGGAAGAGACGCTCTCACGCTGCTTTAGATTCGCCGGCGGCACGTGGGCGGTGTTCGTGGCCGCGAAGCGAAACGGCACGCGACGCCCGCGCGTTGAGCGGAAAGACCGCGAATTCCAGAGCGACAGAGCTCGTCAGCGCGCCACACGGCACGCATCCTATCGGAAACTCGAGAAGCGACGAAGTTTTGCATTTTTGAGCTAACCCACTTTCGCGACCGTGGCTCGGTTTGTAACCGACGATGCAGACGACACGGACGCACCTGGTATATGCCTACTTCAGTTACGCATACACGGGGTAATGCGTCCAGTGATTGCGTTATGATACCTGAGCTTCTGAACGGCAGATACAGTTACGAACTTGTTTTTGAGTGGGAGGGGGGGGGGGGCCGCAAACCAGGCCCTCCCCCCCTCTCCCCCAGGGACGGGGGCGGTGCCCTTGGTAGTGTTTGCCCTGCCCAGTGGCGGCTGTATCGGGGGGGAGGGGGCAAGACACATGCCTTGCCCCCCCACCACCACCCTCTGAGGACTAAGGGAAGGGGGGGGGGGGCAAGCGCCTCCCTTGCCAGCCCGGCTGGTACGCCCATGGTTACCAAGGGTAACCATATGTTCATATCCTTATGTCCATATCCATATCCTCCATATCCTATGTCCATATCCTATGTCCATATCCTTATGTTTATGCCCACATTTGAATTTTCGGTAACGCTACAACAAAGGTAGGTAGCTGGTCGCGGTATAGGCCCACGTCGGCGAAAAGAAGACAGAAACCAGAAATTATGTGAATTTCCTAGAAGACTTCGTGGACGTCGACAAAAAGTACTCCTAGAATTTCCGCAGCAATTCTAAAGCAGTCTAATCAAGAAACCGCCTGCGCAGTACACACCGGTGCAAAATGCTCTCGCATTTCCACGACAACCTCCGCAACGATTTCGGCAGTAATTGTTTTCTTTTCTTCTTTGTTTTCCCCTTTGAATTAGCCTCCTAATGCTGAGCCCTCCATCGTAGCAAGTAATGTGAAAAAGGAGCCATTTTCGAATCGAAGCGAGTCCGCACCACGACCTGCCCGAGATCCACGGGTAGATTTTGAACACCTACCACCCCGACTGCTCGCTTTTAATGGCGTTAATGATAACCTTCGCTCGCGGCCGAATTCCCGATAAATGCGGGATACGCTGCGCGGGGGAAAGCAGCCATCGCAGCCACGGCTATACAGCCGTGGCGGCGAAAGCGTTGCGTCGCTGCCGCACGAACGCGGGTGCAATGGGAAGTACGTGACCAAAGGCGGCAGATATTCAGATGGCAATCGAGTTTTTCTTTCCTTTTTGGAGGAGAGAAAAACATTAAAGTAATCATAGCGTAATGCGTATACCCCTGCCGCATGAGAATTTCCAAGGCCTTTCGATAGAGGGCAGTCGAAGAATCGGCAACCCAACACACGCCAAGCAGAACGGGCAAGAGTCGAAATGGAGACCTCAGTCTCTCCCCTCCCGACTCCCATTTAGTTGGATCGACGCCAGTTGAACCTTTTCGGAAGCTACACATCGGCTTTTGAGCTACACAAACTAACTATAGTTTCGGAATCACAGAACCTTTATCCTTTCCGGTATGCTACTTTGTATGGCGAAATTCAGAATAGTTATTGTGAAATAAATCGGCAAGTGCAAATGATGCCAAAACCAACATTCAAATATACCCGCGCTTTCAGTGCCGTGCCGTGACGTCAGCGGGCAATCTAAAAAGTGGACTATGCCGAGCATTTGTTTCGTACTGCTGCGGGGGTGCTGGAGCTATTTTCTAAAGCATTAATTGGACACCATAAAACTGCTTGTAATCAGTAGGGAACAAAGTATGCAGTTCCCTTCCTTCCCCTGGTGTCACTGTTTCATTGTTGCCAGTAGATACTTTCACATTGAAAAACACGGTG